GATTAAACACAGGAGTAGTTTGTGCCGGTTGTTAATTACTGACTTTCAGTTCCAAATCTACTGTTCTGTGGGCCTTGTAGACTTTTCTTTTGCCAGCTGACTGATACTAAGCTTTGCCAGTTGAGGGTGCTAGAGAGACACTATAATGCCAAAGCAGGAGAAAGGGACTCTCCTTTTCTCCCAGTGTTTGATTTTACCTACAGAGCCAGGGCACTGGCACCCAGAGGGTCTGGCTGCATTCCCCACAGTGTCAGCTACACTGAGTCCCCTAGCGAGTTTCCCCAGCATCAGAGTAATGGCCCTAATGGTTCCGCTGTGATGTGCAGCCTCTTGCAGGATGCTCTGCCCAGACAGCATAGCTCTCACAGCTCAATAGTCTGGCCTGGGTTGTTTTTCTCCAAGCATGGTCCCACAGTTCAGCTCTGGCAAGCTTTTCCGTCACCCAGTGACCACTCTCACTGTTCTACTGAGGTCTGCAGCCACAGCAAGTTCTTTCACCATGACAGGCTGGGTGTTCTGATGGCAGCCACACCCTCCTTAAACTAGCTCTGAATCTCCGTTAAGCTCTTTCTTTGCTCATCCTCCCTCAGCTAACTAGGGCTAGTATGTGCTTTCTATTGTGGCTACTTCTATAGCTTTTACTACTTAACAATTCTTGTTTTAAATTTTCTCGGTTCAAATGACCAGTATGGTCTCTGTCTTATGATAGGACAGTGATTGATATAATCACCAAAGTGTGAGAGTACATAAAGAAAACGGAAGGCCAGGGAGAGAACCCTGAAACATTCCTATATGTAGAGAGCAGAAAGAAGAGGCAGAGCCAGCAGAGGAAACAGCGGGGGAAAAAAAGCCAGCCAGTAGAGGGGGTAAAATAAGACAGAAATGCATGACTTCCAGAGCTGAGTGAGGCAAGTATTTCAGAAAAGAAGGAATGATCAATTATGTCAAAAACTACTGTGAGGTGATTAAGGTGAGAACAGAGAGCTGACCAAAAAACTGGCAGCAGATTCAAGGACCGATATAGATAAAAGCCTAACTGTCATGTGAAAATACAGAGGAGTATCAACTACTGAATTCTGAGGAGCTCTGCTACAATGGAGAGCAGAAGAATGGTAGTGAGACCAATCATCACAGTTGCACATTTTACTTAACCCTAGTCAGCTGGTGGGTGCAGAACAGGGCAGATAGAAAGTTTAGTTTAAGCCAAGAATCCTTTTAAGTGCATAGCTGAGCTCATTTACAATTAAGAAAAACTTCCCAGGGATCAAAAATTAAAAGGAAAAACCTAGAGTAATAAAATAAAGCCACATCTACCTGAGGGCAGAGGAAACTAGTCTTGCACCTGGGCCGCCTAACTAAATCTGGAATTCTTGAGGGGCTATAAATTCATTATATTAATTACAGTACTGTTTTCAACTTCTATGTTCATTTTAAGTTCCAAAATACCAGTAGTAAAAATGTAATACCATTATTTCCAAATTTAAAATTAATCTGATATATAATCATTAGCATTTTGAGGCATCCAGAGTTATATACTGCATTAAATTTTTCAATTCAACATGGGTTATATAAAGTCTGCTTCTTTATTTTCTTCCTTCTTTCAAGTTTTACAGAGATAAGTCAACTAAACACAGCTTCGACTGAAAATAATTCTTACTCTAGTTCAAAGACTTTTGTACAAGTGGAATGTATTGTTTTCCTAGGTCTGCCATAAGAAACTACCACAACCTGAGTGGCTTACAACAACAGAAGTCTATTCTCTCATAGTTCTGGAGGCTAGAAGCCCAAAGTCAAGATGCTGGGAGGGCTACGCTCCCTCTGAAAGTTCAAGGAAAGAATCCTTTCCTGCCTCTCCCTGGTTTGTGGTGGTTGCCAGCAATCACTGGTCTTCCTCCTCAGTTTCTGCCTGTCATCACACTGCATTCTCCCTGTGTGTCTGTGTCCCTGTATCTTCATATAGCCTTCTTATAAGGACACCAGCCATTGGATGAAATTAGAGCCCATCTTAATCCAGTATAACCTCATCTCAACCTGATTACCTCTGCAAAGACCCTATTTCCAAATAAGGTCTCATTCACAGGTACTGGGAGTTAGGACTTTCACATATCTTTTTGGGGGGATACAATTCAGCTCACTTCAGACATCATAATAATGAATTAGAATTTCCCTCTATAAATCACAAATCTAAAGACAATGAGAATGCAAAATGCTTTCTTTGAATCAAACATAGTTTGTTATCAATAAAAGGGCTATAGTCCCTGCCAAAAAAAAGTCATTGAAAAAGATGTCCTCAAAGCTATCAAATATGAGATAGTATTATATGATGATGAAAGAGTCAGGAAATTTAGAACTGGATTACATTTATCTTTTCACCTTACTCAGACTAGATTTTATATTTTTTATCTGATAAGTATAGTTAAGATTAAAGATATAAAAGGGGAAATCTAAAACATAAGCAAGGAATAATATATGTATTATAAAAATCTAAGGCAAATATGAAAACAAATAGAATTCCTAAACATGGCTATTATCAAAATTAAATACCTTCCTCCACAACTAGACTGAAGAACAAAAGGACAGCAACTTGTCTGTTCCACTCCCCCAATTCCCCAATAAAATCTTGGGGGGAAAAAAATTTAAATGCCTAATGGGTGGGTTAAATGGCAGGTGTGAAAGAGTTGCTAAAAAGAGAATTAAGAGCTAGAATAAAAATCTTAAGAAATTTTCCAGGATGCTACACAGACAGAAAATATAAAATGAGCAAAGACATAAAATAATAGTGTAGAATTAAAGAATAAAAAGTCTATTAAAAATTCAGGTTTGATTATAATTAATAGCTAATGCCTGTTAAGAGGATAAAGTTTCTGACAGGAACTTTCCAACATATTATTATATAGAGAAGTATAAAAGGCTGGCAAATATTTAGAAAGTATTTACTTTACAGACATCAAGAATATGAACATTATTCATGTTGCATATCCATATTTCTGGTTATTCTATAATTAGTTACCATAAAATTAAATGATCTGTTTGGCAAAATTCTCATAAGACAGTTTACATTAACTATAATGACTTATTGTTATAAAATGTTAAGCCTCAGGACCATAATTCTTGTATATTTATTTGTTGACGAAAACACTACTTGCTTACTGAATGTTTGAAAGAGATACCTGTGTTTTATACTATTTAAACCATTATAACGTCAGTAATTTTTTATATAATTAACTCAACCAGTATAAAACCATACATATCCTTTCAAAGTTATGAAAATCTACCTGTTTTTCTCTTGAATCAATGACAGAAATAATAATAAAAGTGATTATAGAATATTTAAACAGTTTAGTGGATACCAGACAGTAAGAGGGGAGGAGGGTGGTAGATGAGGGGAAAAGGGATCTAATATATGGTGATAGAAGGAGAACTGACTCTGGGTGGTGAACACACAATGCAATATATAGATGATGTATTGTAGAAATGTACACTTGAAACCTATATAATTTCACTTACCAATGTCACCCCAATAAATTTAATAAATAAATAAAAAATCGAGAAGCATGACTTTTTCTGTAACCTAATATAAAAATCTAGTCTGAAGGAGCCAGTAATTTTGGCAATTTTTCAGGACTGACCCAAGACATAAATCCAGATTCAGGAAGCACAACAAATCATAAACAGAATAAATTAAAATAAACCACATATGTGAACAATTTTATTAAACTACAGAACTGCAGAACAAAGTGAAAGAGGACAGTGGAAACTAGAGGAATAGTAACTCTCTACCAGTAACTCCAGAAGCAGTTAAATTAGCATTCAATAACTGAAGTAAAAAATCAACACGTGTTCAGAACTAGTAGCATACCAAGGGCAGGGCAGTGGTAACAGTTCACCCTGAGTGGCAATACACCGCCTACTGAGAACTTAAAACGATGATTTTAAAACTGAATTTTAAAAAGTTTGCTTTTTAAGAATTGTAATGTCTGTGACAAAATACTTCTGCTGCCAGAAGAGACTACTCCCACCACCCTGTTCTTGGCATGCCATTGGTTCAACAGGGAAATTGAGGGAATGTCCCACAAATCTTTATTAAAGAAACTCTAAGACTATATTTAGGAAGGAAGAAAATGATACAAAAGTCTGAGATACAAGAAGAAAAGGTGAACAAAGAAATGTATACACATAGATAACCTAAGTAAGCACTGACTAGAGGTTGTGGTTAACTTCGGATTTTTAGTTAACTATACATAAATATTTAACGGTAACCCTAGAAGAGAATAGACTCTATAATGTTTAAGTTAGTAGAAGGAAGTAACAATAAATTAAATGATTGAATTACAAATTCATGTTACATGTTATATAACTTCAACTTGGCCCTTATTATGGCTTGACAATCCTTTCCTTCGTCTGCTGATTCTCACATTTCTTACAGTCACAGTTCCTACCTTTTCAACCAGAGCTCCTCTACAATATCCCATTCTATACAATAACATTCCCTACAAGTTTACTAAGAAATTTGAAGCTATCTGTATATCCCCATCTGTTCTAGGATAATAGTGAACAGCCTTGCTCCAAAAACTGAACCCTCTGTCTGTCTATTCTGATAGGCTAGCCTCATCTGCTTCCTACAAATGTGCTCAGTTCTGTTCCATCCTAAAATATCCTCCTCTTAACTCTGCTCACCCTTTTTAAGTTAAGGCCTTCTTTCATAGTTTCCAATTCTGAGTTACACATATTCTGTAGTCACAAAGGATAGAAAACTTAGCTTCTGTTTTCTTCTATATTCTTGCTTCCAACATGATGTTGAAAACTGGTTCAGGATAGGCATGATCATAAGAGGTCCCATAAAGCGAAGACTGGGTATAATTAATTTTCTTTATATAGCATCATGAGCAAGTGGACATATAAGTATTTCAAGTCTTTTTTATATACTATCGCTTTCTTGTATTTGTGAGGATTAGATAATTGTGACACTTAATCTGTGGTCAAATCTGAGAGCCTCTTACCCTTTTTCAGTTTCCGGACAGCCAACATACAATGACTAGGAGAGAGATCCCATATTCTTAAGGTTTTATCATCACTTACAGTAGCACAGATGGGCAGATAAGGATGTGTAGCCAAACCCCACACCTCTCCTTCCATGTGTCCCTATAAAGAAAATATAGTTAAGATCAATGTAACCTAAAACTATGTGTATTTAGAAGAAAACTAAAGACGACATTTGATAATATATGATAACAATAGGATAATGAATAATGGGTAAGTCCTAAAAGTTTTTATCTTGGAATACATCTGAAAACAACTTTGTAACAACGTTATCTCTATGATTACAATATAATCAAGATACTATTAAAAAATTAGCTTGAAATCCTAAAACACTCACTAGATAGAGAGAATAAGAATTGGCTGCCCTGCAATGTTAATAATTGCCACACAGAGGGACTTCCTGCATGACAGAGTAAGGAGCTCCACAGACCTGCTCACCAGCAAAAGTGGTGAAAGTTATTTAAAAAAAAAACAACACTTAAAATCGGGGAAACAAGTGAAGGAACATTTACTCGAGAAAATCTAAATTATTTAAGAACAGCGAGAGTCTGCAGTGTTTGAACTGAGACCCACTCCTTTCCTCCCTCTTCCTAAGTCATTGATGTGGAAACTCCACACCAGACTGAGGGAACCAAGAACACAGGTGTATCCCCCCCAGCTTTAGTAGGAGAGTTATCAGAAGGGGCCGCTGTCAGCATTTCGAATCCTGCACACAACTACCAGCTACTGAGGCTAAATTCTTGGCGGGTGCTGCTGACAGGTGGGAGCTCCCTTTTTCTGCCTACCTCATTTGGAAATGGAGGCTGTACCGTGACTGTGGTGTCACTGAGAATACTGGGCCTCAGTGTCAACCCAGTAAGACCTGAAGCTACTGCTCCCTCTCCCACACCAAGCACTCAGTTTCTAAAGGAAGGTACACTCAGAAAGAAGCACTCCATTGTCCTCACCCTCAACTCCAGATCCTTGGATCAGAGATTTTACCTGGAGGGAAAAGCAAGCCATGAAACAGTTCCTAATCTCTTCTCAAAGGAACTGACTTCATTTATTGCACAGTATAGAAAAGTTCCAGCCTACAGGTGCTCCCCAAAACTATGGAGGTTATAATGAAAGGTAACTGGGAGGCAACCAGTACACTCAACGGACATACAGACTAAACTGAAGGTCAGCTAGTTTGTCCAAGAAAACAGAAACCACAGGGATAGCTGGCAGGTGACTACTTAAAAAAATCAAAATGAATCTCAAATACCAACCTAGGGCACTGTTCCTTTTAAGTAGCCTGAATTTAATTGATTTAGTCTGTGGAGCAATATATGCTCCAGGGAAATGTTGAAAACAACAGAGCTTTAATAGCTGGTTGTGGTCTGGGAAAGAGGCCATTAAACAGGAGAGAATACTTCCCAAATCATCTTATAAAGCCAGTATTACCCTCACACCAATATCAGACAGACATCACAAGAAAACTAGACCAATATCCCTTATAAATATAGATGCTAAAATCCTCTACAAAATAGCTGATTCCATTATAGAATTATACAACCAAATGGAATTCATTCCAGGAATGCAAGGTTGGTTTAAAATCCAAAAACCAATTAGTATAATACGCCATATCAAAAACACAAAACAAAACAAAAAAACCCCAACACATGATCATCTCAATAGAGAAAAAACATTTGACAAATGTTTTTGATAAAAACATGCAACAAACTAGGAGTAAAGTGAAATTCCTCAATCTGATAAAGGGCATCTATGAGAAATCCACAGTTCACATTGTACTTAAGACTGGATGCTTCCTCCCTAAAGCTAGGAGCAAGACAAGGATGTATTTATTGTACTGGAGAGTCAAGCAAGGATAATTAGGCAAGAAAAAGAAATAACAGGCATCCAGATTAAAAAGGAAGAAGTAAAACTATATTTGCAGATGACAGGATCTTATATATAGAAAATCCTAAAAAATCCACTAAAAACTATTAGAACTAATAAAAAGTTCAGTTATTTTAACAAAGTAACTACAAGGCTTTTACAATGAAAATTATAAAACATTGTTGAAAAAATTAAAGATCTAAACAAATGGAGAGATCCCATGTTCATGGATCAGAAGACTTAATATTAACAGGCACTACTTCCCAAACTGATCCACAGAATTCTGCTGTTACATTGTTGTACATGTATGTGTGTGTGTGTGTGTGTGTGTGTGTGTATGCTTATATATATATATATATATATACACACACACACTTATATCTAACATATATCATACAGCTAATACATATCATATACATATTTGTTGTGTACATACATTCCCACACTTTTATTATTGTTGTATATTATCTTTATTTCTAGCATGAAGAGTTTCTCAGAAATTTCTTGACTATTTTAAAATATTATTCCCTTCTAGATGATTTTTTAAAAACCTTCCAGAATTTGTGAAAAAATATCATTACAATTTGGATTATGATCATGTTGAATTTATAATTTAATGGGTTGTCGAAAATGTCATGATGTATTTTTTCTGTTTTTCGTTGCAAAAATGCATCATGACTTTTCCGACAACCCAATATTTATTTCTTTTATGTCTAAAACTAAAATTTTACAGTTGTCTTCACACAGGTCTTGCATATGTTTCCCTCTATTTATCCCTGGTTATTGTATAGTTGTCTTTGTGAGTACCATTTTTGTGTCACATTTTCTAACTTGTTATTGCTAATATATAGATATACAATTGATTTTTATATGCTGCTTTTGCATCTACTCACTTTATAGGACTTTATAGGACTAATTAATCCTGAATTAGTTCTAATAAATTTTCAGTTTAGTCTCTTGAATAGTAAACATACAGGGTTATAATATCTGCGAAAACTGACAGTGTTGTCTATTTGCTGCTAACACTTAACAGCTCTTTTTGTTTTGTTTTATTAAATTGGCTAAGACCTCAACCCAGTGTTGGACAACAATGGTGAGAATGGTATCCTTATCTTTTTCTGATGTTCAGGAGACAGTAGATTTAAAACCTTAAACTTTATAATAAATATAAAAAATATTAGGATGTCTTTTATGACTTCTAAAAATCTTAGTTATGAAATTATCTGTTTTTTAACAGTTCCATCTATGTATTCATCTGTAAAAGTACACTGTGTTAATATTTTCCAAGAGATCATAAACATATTAAACACCATGACTCCATCAACTTTTTACTTCAGTGGGATATTATGTGACTGAAATTTAAAAGCAGACATGAAATTTTGATAGTTAATTTAATATAAAATGTTTTATTTCCTTAAAAATTCTCCTGCATGCATCAGGATATTAATATTAGAGTATGTGCAGTGTTCTCATCTATGTGTGCTCCTTGGTATCTTAACAGGAGTGAAGTGGGGTTTAGAGAAAAAATAAGTCTGTATTAAGAAAAAACATAATTTTTTTCAGGGTCAAAGGCAGTCACAAAATATAGAGTTGCATGAGGACAATTTTTCATTAGGGTAGATCCTACCTCACTTGCTGTGTTTTATATAACGATTTATACCCTTCCTTACTTTTCAACAAAAATATAATACATACAGAAAATGTACATGTAAAAAAGTAATACAGCATTCCTGTTGGAAATGTTAAGTCTCATTTAATCGTACGGTTTCCTTTTATATTTCTACCACACAAATTGTTATATTTCAAGATTTTTGTTTCATTATTAACATATTTTCACTGTTATTTTCAGCAATAAAATTTTAGCATTTTTTACTTTTCTAAGTTAGAAACTTGAGGAGGAATAAACTAAACTTGAAGAGTTTCACAGAAAACAACTGCCTTAAGGCCGGCCAAGTGGTGCGTTGGTTAAGAGCTGGCTTGGAACACCAGAGAGCCCCGGTTCAGATTCCACATATGAGGGCCAGTGACACTGCCCTCTACAGCTAAGATGCTGAACAACAGCTCAACCTGGAGCTGGGCTGCCGTGAGTCGCTGGCGACGGTGTA